ATATGGCCTAACCGCTTGTACTAATAAAGTGCCAAGGGCCTAAGTGGTCACCTTAATATTAAAAAAAAAAATAATAAATAAATAACAAACTATTACATATTATATATATATACTTGAAAATATATATCCTCTGTATTTTTCAAAGGCTTTTTTCTATTGTCTTTTTTTGTTTCTAATTCATTAATTTCAGCAAATTTTTTTGAAACCTCTTCAAGCTGTATTTGTTGCTCCTTGATTAAATATTCCAACTTTGCACAGTGTCTGGAAAGCTGGTTAAGCTTTACTGAGTTATCTTGTACAATACTTAGAACCTTGTTTATAATACACAGATCGATGGTAGCTCGAGCTATTAAATAAAAATATAAAGTAATAGGTTAAAAAAAAAAAAAAAAAAAAAAAAAAAAAAAAGAGGGAAAACACTATTTTACAAACTTGAAATTTCAGAAACAGCAGTCTTTCTAGTAAAAGTAGTCAATGGTATAGGTTCAATAATAACTTGCGGCTAAGTATATAAAAAAATTGTACAAAATTACATTAGATAATTTAATAAATAATAGAATACTAAAAATAATAATAAAATAACTTGCTTTCTCTGGAATAATAACTTGCAGCTATATAAAAGTTATATAAAATTGTATTAGATAATTTAATAAGTGTTAAACAATAATAATAAAATAATAAATCACTTACTTCTTTTGGGATATTATCCTTTTTTTTATTTTGTGGTGTGCCAGTTTTTGTTAAAGCTAATGTAGATGATGTTGATGCAAATGATGAGGCTGAAGTTGATACTGATGTAGCTATGGATAATGCTAATGTGGATGACAATATTGAAGCTGATGTAGTCAATATTCTACATTCTTTAGAGTGTTGCAAAGTATTAAAGTTTAAGGATGTATCCAAACTGGTTCTTTTGCCTTTTTTTTTGCACATTGTATTTCTAATTTAAGCAAAAAAATTATAGAAATAAAGAAAAAAATTTTCTTTATTTATATAAAAAAATCTTTATAAGTAATATAACTAATATTAGAATTGCATAAATTAATAACCAATGTAATAACTGACTCATTAACTGACATAATAACAGATCATCTTAATAATTACATCATTTATTTATTAGTGCAAATAAAAACTGAATAAATAATTTAAAAATTTGCTTACTACGAATACAGTAATTATCTGTTATAATATTTTATATATATAATGGCATTACATATTCTTATATAGCATTTCATTGTATTCTTTTGCTTTACTTGTCATTCTTCATATACCTTCCTTCTTCTAAATGTATATAATCTTTTTTGCTATAAAAATATGATGAAGTTCTATATAATGTTGTAGCATTGTTATTACCTTTGAGACTTATAAGTGATTATAGATTTTAAAATAATGTACTATATAGAATAAGACTAATATATACAAAAAAAAAATAGATTAATGTTTTATTCAATGAAATATGATCAACAAATTATGCCTTAAAGTTCTTTGAAAAGATCCCAAGCTTCTCTATTTCAAATTGTTTAACAACTGTTATAATGAAATTATAATCCCTAGTATTAAATTCATCATATTGTATTGAATAAAATAATATAAATTTATTCTCTTTATCATGTAGGCAAAGAGCCTAAAAATTATAAAAAAAAAGGTCAACTATATTGATATTTGTAAATATATCAATTATACTTAATTAATAAAAATTTATATTTTTTATCTATCTTTTCCCTAATATAATAGTTCACATTTTTGTCAACTTTAGTCCAATCGACTTTGTAAGTGTAATTATAATCTGCAAGGATGAGCTGATTTGTTAAAAAATTGCACCTGGGTATTAGCTACTGGTCATCTTTTGAAGTTTTATTATATCTTTTAATGCAAGATATCTATCCTATTGCATGAGGAACATTTGGTAAGATTTTAGATGCATACTAGAAAAGTGATAATAAGGATGTTGTTTTAATGGCTAATTTTAACTTATCCATATAAGTAATTTTCTCTGGGTCTAAAAAATAAACAAATACTGTAATTAATAATTATTAATAATGTTTTCAATAATAAAAATTTTAACTTACTTAAACTTTTAACATGAATTTCTTTTATATAGTTTTTTTTTATATAGCTTAATATATATAAATAGTTAAAAGATAAATAGACTAAAGTTTACTATATAGAAAATAATAT